TTATATTATATTATATTATATTATATTATATTATATTATATTATATTATATATAAATTTATTATAATTTAAAGTCTGATACATTCACAACTAAGCTATAGCAAACCAGATATTTATGAAAAAAAAAAAAAGCGTCAGTATTTCTCTTCGAGCTGTAACTGGCACCAAAAGAGAGAAATGTGTAAGAAAAAGTAAATATTTAATGGAACCCATGGCTGCAGCAGATTCCTGGGAATGGCCACGATCCTGTGCCATGACTGAGGATCTTTGGTGGAAATTCTTGACCTAAATGTTCAAAAGTTCACCTACATTTAATGCTGAATTTTGGAGTATTTTTAAAATAGCTGAAAAGACAAGGATAGGCCAAGTGCTCCTACAATCCTACAGGAAATGTCAGCAGGGAAACGGCAGCACAAGGATAATTGAAGGAAGCAAAATTGCTTAAAGCTGTTTAGTACAAGCCGAAAATCACATTGAACTTCAAAATTGATTTTTTTTTCTCACTCTCTCAGGATGATTCAAGTAGGTCACGCAGCTCCTGGGGGCACTTTTCCCACATCATTTAATAGGAAGTGCCTGTTCTGTGAAGGATGGAGATAATCAGCCTGGAATTAGAGTTTCCTGTGCAGGCTGAGATGTTAAATCAGAAGTTACAACAGCGATGTTGGAGTTAAAAGTTGTATCAGTGAAGCAATTAACTCACAGTAATTATTGCAGTTGGGCTTTGCTGGAGGTTCCTCGGTGCTGATGTGGCCAACACACCCAAAAGAGGCTTTAAATGTGGATTATCTCACCTTGCTTTCCACTTTTAGAGCAAAAAGCTGAGCTGCTCGTGATGGGATCTCCCTAGGGATAAAAAGGAGATGGGAAACAGGAATGTTAATTATGGACACTCCCAAAAAACTCGGATGTTTCTTTGCCACATTTGTGGCAAACTAAAATTCCTTAATTCCGTAAATTAAGTCATTCCTGAAAAAAATCAATTTGCTTTTTTAAGGCTTTTTTTAATTTTTTTTTTAAATTTCTTTTTAGTACAAAAAGGAAAGGTTTGTAGAATAAAGAAATAAGTTTAAAAAAATAAAATAAATTAAGAAAAATAAATAAAATTAAAAAAAATAAATAAAAGTTTGTAGAATAAATATTTTAATTATATAACAATACATTCATTATAATGAATGTTATGTATAAGGTTAGACTATAGTTTTATAATTATAAATATAGTAATATAATATAATAATATAATATTAATATAATAATATAACATAAATATAATAATATAATATAATAAATATAATTACTAATACAGTTTTATTTTTGTTATTGATGAAATTTAGAAATAGTGGTATAATACACATATATGTTAGGCTATAACATGATATTAAAGCACAATTTTATATAACTTTATTATGTTTATATAACCCAGAGACTGAAAAGACAGTCAGAGACCCTCCTGCCTTCTTAAAATTATCTTGTCCTCCAATATCTCCAAGAGAAGGGTTTATTTCACCCGTTATCAGAGGATATAAAACCCAGCAGCGCCAAGAAGATTGATCTATTGGGAAGGAGGAAAGATAAAAACTAAACAAAGGAGCATAAAAACTTAAAAAGAATGCCTGAATATGTCTGAGAATTTATGGATATGTAATAGGGTTCTGTTTTTAAGGGACAATCCTTTGCTAGTAAGGTGAATGCAGAGACACCCGGCGGTATCTCTATATTTTACTTTATTTTTATCTCCTAATTGTCTTTTTATTAAACTTTAAAATTCCGTATAAAAATATTTGAACCCTGTTTTTCACACAGGGAACACCCAGGGAAAAAGGTGTCTTCTGCTGGCTTGTACTGGAGCTTTCCAAGCTCTTGGTCTTACTCCAGTTGCAACCACAGAGTTTGGCATCAGGTCCAACTCCTCTCAAATGACACGGCCCGAGATGGGTCCTGGAAATCATCTGTCACTTCTTGGCTCCTGAGATACTTTATCAGGAAGAAATTCCTGAAATTAAATACAATATTTGAGGGAGTACCTCATAATTACAGTTTGCCCTTTGGGAACTGTCCGAGGAGTAGCCGTGTTTTCTTAGAAATCTGCGGTTTTATCAATTCTGTTATCAATTTCTTTTATCAATTCCTCCTCCTTTTCCACTCCCATCACCTGAAAAGCAGAAAGCAGTTTCAACTTCCTTAGCTTCCAAAGCTGACCTTTAAAGGTGCAGAACTTAATATATATATATAAAAAACAGGTGATTGGGAATACCATAATCATAAAGTCACCCCAGGACAGATTTTACAGCACTGGGTGCACAGCCAGAATTAGAGGCACACTTGGTAATTATAACTCTTCTTATATACATTTTATTGCATTGATTAAATGTATAACAATGAAGATTATACATATTCAAACTTTTTTTTTTTTTAGTTCTTTTATGTGTTTCTGGGAATTCTTTAGCTTGGTTTGGCTCATGACCTGTCATGCAAAAGTGTAATTTGATTTTTGAGAGTCGCTATTTCTTCACAACGACAAATGAGGAGTTACTGATAATCAAATGCTCAGTGGCAGAAGCTTTCACATCTTCTTTTTCAATGTTATTTGTGTGGTTCTTTTAGTGTTGTCTAATCATACAGATTTTTTTAACTGTAATAGTTTTAACTATTTCCACAAATTTGAGTTATTCTCACTATTGTCAGCTACAAAAGCAAAGGCATCAGCTACTTCTGCAAAAAGTTACAATGCACAACACAGTTTTTATTTAATAATTTGTAATTTTCATAATATTTTTATATAATTAAATTTACTATAAATATAAAATATATTTATATGCTTATATATTTTTATATATTTATAAGATATAAATATAATATAATAATAATTAAATATTTTATAACATTTATAGTTTAGGCTTTTGCCTAAACCTTTCCCTCTTCCCAATAGATCAATCTTCTTGGCGCTGCTGGGTTTTATATCCTCTGATAACGGATGAAATAAATCCTTCTCTTGGAGATCTTGGAGGAAAAGATAATTTTAAGAATGCAGGGGGGTCTCTGACTGTCTTTTCAGTCTCTGGGTTATATAAACATTATAAAATTATATAAAATTGTGCTTTAATATCATGTTATAGCCTAACATATATGTGTATTATACCACTATTTCTAAATTTCATCAATAACAAAAATAAAACTGTATTAGTAATTATATTTATTATATTATATTATTATATTTATGTTATATTATTATATTAATATTATATTATTATATTATTATATCATTACATTTATAGTTATAAAACTATATTCTAACCTTATACATAACATTCATTATAATGAATATATTATTATATAATTAAAATATTTATTCTACAAACATTTTTATTTATTTACTTTATTGATTTATTTTTATTTGTTTTTCTTAATTTATTTTATTTTTTTTTAAATTTATTTATTTATTCTACAAACCTTTCCTTTTCGTACTAAAAAGAAATTCTAAAAAAAAATTTAAAAAAAGCCTTAAAAAAGCAAATTGATTTTTTTCAGGAATGACTTAATTTAAGGAATTAAGGAATTTTAGTTTGCCACAAATGTGGCAAAGAAACATCCGAGTTTTTTGGGAGTGTCCATAATTAACATTCCTGTTTCCCATCTCCTTTTTATCCCTAGGGAGATCCCATCACGAGCAGCTCAGCTTTTTGCTCCAAAAGTGGAAAGCAAGGTGAGATAATCCACATTTAAAGCCTCTTTTGGGTGTGTTGGCCACATCAGCACCGAGGAACCTCCAGCAAAGCCCAACTGCAATAATTACTGTGAGTTAATTGCTTCACTGATACAACTTTTAACTCCAACATCGGTGTTGTCATCACACTAATATATATATATATATAATCTACACGGGGCTAGGACTTCCAGCTCTTACACTGGCAGCTGATATTTTGATTTTCTCCCCTAGAACCACAGCTGGGGTCTCTCAGAATGGTTCAGCATGTGTTAAAAGTTCTTTCCTACAAGCTTCTTCAGGAGAGGAGATGGAAGGAGATGTCTGTGGGATTCACACTGGTGATGTCCCCGGTGTCCCTTGGCACGTCCCGGGCTCCTCCAGCTCTCAGGTGGCTCCAGGACTTTTCCAATTCCCATGGAATTCACGTGAGCTCACCTGGACACACCGATCTTCCATGAGGTGAGAATTGTTATATCCCCGTTCCCTTAAAATTCCAGCTCTTTAGGTAACAAAACTCACTACTTCCACCCTTTTAATATTTAATTTTATATTTAATTTTATATTTAATTTCATATTTATTTAATATTTATTTAATATTTAATTTAATGTTTAATTTAATATTTAATTTAATATTTAATTTAATAATATTTAATTTAATATTGTTGCACGTTTAAAACCTGTTATTCCCGTTGCTTTCCTCCCTTCCCCAGGCTGCTGCCCTTTCATCAGCACAAGGTGACAATTAACACCTCCAACCTGCAGTTTTCCTTCTCAAACTTTGGATCTTCCCCAACTCTGAACATCTGCATCAGTGCTGGGATCAGTCACCTCGATCAGCACAGCAAGGGCAGCTCAGGGTGGGATTCCTCTGCAGAAATGTGTGCAGGGACTTCGAGCAGTGTGAATATCTTGTTTAGGTACAGGATTATCGGTGAGATCAATCTCTGATCAATCTCTGATCAATCTTTGATTTGAGATCTTGCTGAGAAAGCAAATTAAACCTTAGCCTGGCTGCAGAAATGTAAGCTCCTCACACGGGAAATCAGCATTCAAATTCCCTCAGGAATTTGGGCTAAAGGCCACGGAAAGGGGTGTGAGGAAACTGGGAAAACTCAGTGATTCTGGTGTGTTGGATAAAGGGTAAAACAGAGTGGGTATATTAAATACATTCACTGGTTTTAATACAGTATAATTTATCAGCTTTTGTGGCCAAAGTCCTGGCCCTGAGTAGCTCATATATATATATATATATATATATATATGTGTGATGAACATATAGTTTAGGCTTTTGCAAAATATTAAATAGAAACTATGTGTTGTGCATTGTAACTTTTTGCAGAAGTAGCTGATGCCTTTGCTTTTGTAGCTGACAATAGTGAGAATAACTCAAATTTGTGGAAATAGTTAAAACTATTACAGTTAAAAAAATCTGTATGATTAGACAGCACTAGAAGAACCACACAAATAACATTGAAAAAGAAGATGTGAAAGCTTCTGCCACTGAGCATTTGATTATCAGTAACTCCTCATTTGTCGTTGTGAAGAAATAGCGACTCTCAAAAATCAAATTACACTTTTGCATGACAGGTCATGAGCCAAACCAAGCTAAAGAATTCCCAGAAACACATAAAAGAACTAAAAAAAAAAGTTTGAATATGTATAATCTTCATTAATAGACATTTAATCAATGCAATAAAATGTATATAAGAAGAGTTATAGTTAACCAGAGTGCCTCTAGCTCTGGATAGGCACCCAGCGCTGTAAAAGTCCTTTTTTATCCCTTATGAAACTTTTAAAATTTTAAAGAGTAAGACTCATTTCTCACACTCCAGGACTGGGATTATCAGGTGCTCCAGCAGCCACCAAGATGGAAATGAGCCTGACTGGAGTCAGGCAACGCCTGTCTTAAAAACTGACTGAAAAAAAATCCTCTCTGGTGTGAAAACCCAGCTTGGTGCAAGATGTGGGGATGGGAGGGCACAACCAAAGAGCTCCCAGCTCGTTTTCACCTTCCTCAGTCTGATCTTTGTCTCCCCGTTAATTGTACAGGAGATGCTTGGAGTTCCCAAATCATTCTGAGACCAAACTATATCCACGTTTATATAAATATATTTGAAAATAAGAAGTGAAAACAAGCTGGAAATGTCTGAGGAGTGCCTGCAAAGGGACTACATGTAAGGATCTAAACTGGAGAGAGGGAATACTCGAATGAAAGACCAGAAATCTGTGTTTGTGGAGCCCTGACAGGCACTGGGAGATGCTGCAGGAATCCAAAATCCCCCCCAGCAGCAGCTCTCCAGAGCAACGACGGATTTTGGGGACTACAGTCTCTAACACTACAGGAATCACTCCCAAATTCAACCTTGGTTTTGGCTGGCTCCAGAGAAGCCGTGGAAGGAAGAGCCTGGCCCAGGCCACTTAAAACAAACCCACTTTTGCACCAAAATTCCCCGTGGATGTAGGGGAAAACCATCCTGGTTCTCCATGAGCCGCGAAACGACGGCTCAGTGCAGGCTCCTGACAAATCCCTGCAAGGGATTTGCAAGGACACACCTCAGGGAAAGCAGTGGATGCCATTTTCCTTTTTAATCTGGAAAAGGGGGAGAGAAGAAAAAGGCTGAGGAGCTGCAGTGTTCTTCCCCCTCCCACCTGTGTGGTGAATGTTTGGAAAATGCTGTTTGTGGTCTCTCAAAGTCAGTGTTTTTTTTCCCAGGTTGTCCCAGAGGTTGCAGACTCCGCATCCCTGACAGTGTCCAAGGCCAGCTTGGAGGAATCTGGGATAATGGAAGGTGTCTCTGCCAGTGGCAGGGGGTGGGTGATCCCAAAATTCCCTAAATTCCCTTCCAAGCCAGCCCATTCCAGGATTCTGTGATTTTTCTGTGATTTCCCCTTCCCAGACCCAGGAATGGGGACATTTAAACCTTTCCCCAAGGTGGTGCATCATTGCTCCTCCCCAGGCTTTCCCTGAAGACTGAATTTGGCATTTCCTGACCAGCATTCCCATCTGCATTCCCAGTTAAGTCTTTTCCCAACCTTTTCACGCAGGATTATGTCCCAGAACAGCCTGGATTTCCAGGGAGGTGTGTGCTGTGCTAGTGCTCAGTTTTCCAGAGAAAAAGGGTTGCTTTGTTCCCACTGGGAAATGAAGCCTCTGGATAATTTCCAATCCATCCCAAATGAACATCCACGCTGTTCCTGAGTGCCCCCAGCTCCTCACAGAGGTGAGGAATAAAAGAGTAATAAATATAATATTATAAATAATAAAAGAGACCACAGCGTGCCAGCACTCAGCAGCCAGCAAAACCCAGGGATTTTGGGCATTTTCACAATCCCATGTCTGGATCAGCCCATTCCAAACTCAACAGCAACATGTGGAAATATTGGAAATATCCACCTGGGTGGGATATCCTGACACCCACCCCGCTCCCCGAGGCAGGAGCAGCTGCACCTGCAGCATTCCCGAGCCCTGCTTTGTCCAACCTGTTCCTAAAAACCTCAAACTCCGGTGTCCCGAGGCCCTTCTGGACCTGGCTGGAATTTCCCTGTGGGGAATTTACCCCTGTGGGATTTTCCTGCTGGCTCACCTGAATCCACCTTTCTCCAGGACCTTCCTCCAAGGATATTCTTGTGGGGTGATTAATTTAAAGCCCAATTTTTTGAATTTTTTGATGCTGCAGACCCCCAGCACTGAGCACAGAATAAACACAAATTCTCCTTTAATGAAGGGAAATACCTGAAAATATTTTGCTTTCCAGGCTGCTCATAAATAACTTCTGGGGACTCTTCTCTTGCCTGTTCCCATTGTGTTTTCCACATCATTCCTAAGGAAAAACAAATCCAACAGCTTCAGGGAATCAAGTTCTGCCTCAAAACTCAAAAAACCCCACAGATTTACAGCAATTTTTATTATTTCCCTCAGCTCCTTTCCCCTCTGTGTTTTAAATCCTTCTCTGTTTTTCAGCTCCCTAAAGCATGGAATTGTTTACATTGGAAAAGGCCTTTCATATCCTTAAGTCCCAATGACAGCCTCGGGACAGCCAGAGGTGAATTGTGAATTCCACAGAAAATGGGGGGAAATAAAATTTTAAATGGATCTTTCCACAAAAATGGGGGGAAAAAAGACAATTTTAAGACTGGTTCTCCCACAAAAACAAAAGGGGGGAAATTCCCTTTTGTGCTGCATCTTAGAAAAAAAATATATTAAAAAAAAAATGTTTTGAACTGTATTTTTTCCACCAAAAAAATAAGGGAAACATTTCCATTTTGAACTGGCTTTTTTCCATGATTTCCACTTTAAAATGGATTTTCCCACCAAAACAATGAAAGAAAAATCCATTCTAAATATGATTTTTTTTCCACAAAAAAACCCCCACCAAAACTATTTTAAACAGGCTTTTCCCTTTTCAAAATTTCTATTTTAAAAGACATGTTCCAGCAATTTCCATTTTAAACTGGATTTTCTCACCAAAAATATGGCAAAAAAAATATATTTCAAACTGTTTTTTCTGCAATTTCCACCTTAAACTGGATTTTCCCGCCAAAAATATGGCAAAAAAACCCCCCAACAATTATTTTAAACTGATTTTCCCCCAACTTCCATTTTAAACTGGATTTTCTAACCAAAAATATGGCCAAAAAAAAAAAAATCTATTTTAAACTGACTTTTCCACAACTTCCATTTTAAACTGGATTTTCTCACCAAAATTATGGGGAAAATATATACATATACATACATACATACATATATAATCTGATTTTTCCACAGCTTACATTTTACACTGGATTGTCTCAACAAAAATATGGAATATATAGAGATATTTATTTATTTATTTAAACTGATTTTTCCACAACTTCCATTTTACACTGGATAGTCTCAACAAAAATATGGAATATATAGATATATTTATTTATTTATTTTAACTGATTTTTCCGCAACTTCCATTTTACACTGGATTTTTCTACCAAAAATATGGCCAAAAATAGATATATTTTAAATCGATTTTTCCGCAACTTCCATTTTACACTGGATTTTTCCACAAAACAAAACAACAAAAAAATATAATTAAAAGTCAATTTTAAACCGCTTTTCCCTCGATTTCCACGCTAATCCAGGTTTTTGCAGCGCTGCCCTCAGAGCCCCCGAGGCGGGAACGGCCGCGACCTTCCCAACATGGCGCCGCCCCCTCGCGCCCCCCCAACATGGCGCCTCCCCCGCCCGACCTCCCGCTCATGGCCGCCCCCGCCGCCCTCGCCCTCCTCAAGATGGCGGCGGCGCGGCGCTATGACGCCATACGTCCCGCTCCCCCCCTCTCGCTGTCCCCGGCCTCCTCCGCCGCCGCCGCCGCCGCCGGTCCCCGCCTCCCGCGCTCGCCACCGCGGCGGCCGAGGGCGACTCGCGCCGCCGCCCCGCTCGCCCCCCGCCCGCCGCCCGCCCTCCGCCCGCCGCGGCCCCGCGGCGCGGGCCCGCCGCAGCGCAGCCGCTCTGAGGTGAGCGTCCTACCGCGCAATCTCCTCCAGCCCCGGCGCAGCCGCACCAACGCGGGGCCCCCGCCGCCAGCACCCGCTCCCCCGGCGGCCGCGACCGCCCGGCCGCGCCGGGCCCGCGGGGCCGCCCCGGGGCTGGGGCAGCGCGGGGGGACCGGGAAGGGCGGCGGGGGGAGCGGCGAGGGGGGCTCGGGGCGGGGGCGGCGGGTGCGGGCCGGCCTCGGAGCTGCGGCCCGGGCTGAGCCCGGCCCGGCCGGGCGGGGAACTTGGGCCGCGGCCGCAGACATTGGCGGAGCTTCTGCTTCGCCCTTTTTCCTGGTATTCTCGGAGCCCCTTCCTTCCTGCTTTTGGCCCTCAGCACCCCTTTTTCCCTCCCCCCCCCCGCCTTTATCTCTCCTTTTTTTCCCCCCTTTTCACCCTCCCCCTTTTTTGCTTTCACCCCCACTTTTTTGCTTTCACCCCCATTTTCTTACTCTTCACATCCCCTTTCGGTCCCTTCACCCCTTCTTCCTTTTTTCCCTTCACCCCCTTTTTTTTTTTCTCCTTCACCCCCCTTTTTTTTTCACTGCAGCCCCTTCTTTTTCCCTTCACACCCCGTTTTTTTTCCCTTCATCTCCCCTTCCCCCCTCATAATCAGGTTGTAAAAGGCCTCAGAGATAAATGAGTCCAAACTCGATGAAGTTCCTCTTCATGCCCCGTATTCTTCCCTCTTATCCTTGTTTTCTTTTCCCCCTTCACCTCCTAATTTTTTTTCCCAGAATCACAGAACCAATTAAGTTGGAAAAGACCTCTGAGCTCATTAATGAAGTTCCCCTTCATTCTCCCTTTCCCCCCCCCCTTCTTTTTCCTGTCATCCTTCACTTTTCCCCTTTTACCCTCTTCCCCCTCCCTTTTTATTTTTCTTTACATTTTGTACATCTATAATTTTCCTCCCTCTGTACAGGAGGTTGGGAGCGAGTTGAAACGTGTTAATCACTCATCTCCTCTCCGTTTAAAGTACCCAAAAAAGGGGTGTAAATTGCCTATAAAAAGGGGTGTAACTGGGTATGTCTTAAAATACCCAAAAAAAAGGGCTCTAAATCATCTGGCTCAGGACAGACCTGGCTGGGACTGAGGTGCTCGGGACCTTTTTTGTGTAAATAATAATTAAGGGACAGAAATAATTCAACTCAAAACTCTTCCTGTGTTTGAGGTTACCAAGTCTAAGCTTTCTTGCAGCTACAGATGATTTTCATTGGGTGGGGCGATATTTTCTCTGTTCAAGTTTGGGAGTTCTGCTTCATATTTTTATTATTTGGGTTGGTTTTTTTTTTTCTCCTTCACTGAACTGTTATTTCCAGAATTTGGGATTTTTAATCCCTTAGGCAGGGCCTGGCTGTTGTGGTTTTGTTTGTAAGCTTTGCTGGTCTCTGAGCACGGTTTTAGACCCTCTTCCCACATCCTGAGAGGATTCCCAATGTGAACTCATGTCCATCCTCACTTTAGCCTTTCGTCTCCTTCATCCACATCACAATTACTCCTTTTCAAAGCCTCTCACAGTGAACTTTTAATTCCCAAACACTGAGGAAGTAGGTGAGAGAATTGTTCATCTTTTTAATTGAAATTTTCGTGCTGGTGGTAAAACTGGGAGCAATGATTTTTTAAATTTTATTTTTATTTTTTAATTATTTTTTTTTCTGTCACGGGTGAAAGAGGAAGTGCATGATGACAATGATGGTACCTGTGAAAAGCTGAGGGTTGTAGCAACTGATTTTTCAGGATTTTCATCCCTGAAAATGTCCAAGGCTGGGTTGGACGGGGTTTGGATCACCCTGGGACAGTGGGAAGTGTCCCTGGCATGGCAGGAGTGGTTTGGGATTTACCATCCAACCCATCCCGTGATTCCACAGAGCGTTCCAGCTCAGTGTTCATTTAAATCCTCTCCCCCTGTAATTTCTTGGTGTGTTTGGTGTTTTGCAGAGCGTCTGGGTTGGTTTTTATGGAGTTCTATTGCGTCCTGGTTGTTTTTTCATGAGCCTGGCGTAATTTTTGTGAGGTTTTATGATGACTTTTTGTGCCCAGGCCATAAACCCAGTCCTCATCCCCTGCGGGTTTCACGCAGCTCTTGTAATTTTTTAGGATTTCTGAAATGTTTGGTCTGACAGAGGTGATTTGACCAGGACAACAAACCATTCCAGCAGTTAAATTAAACCATCCTGGAAAACCCAGCTGTGCCAGGGAGAGTCCTTGCTGTGGATTGGAGGTTGTGTCTCTGTGCAGCTCCACCAGGAAAATGGAAAACTTGGTGGGGGGATTAAGCTTTGGAGAGCTTTGGAAGTGGTGGAATCCCTGGAATTGTTCAGAATCCTCTGGAAGTGGTTCCTGAGGCCGTGGTTTCGTGGTGCTGAGTTGATGGTTGAACTCAATGCTCTCAGAGGGCTTTCCCAACTTTACCAATTCTACAATTCCATGAGCAGAGGCCGCTTTGCTCCAGAGGGAGTTTGGCCACTGTGAGGTTTATCCCGCCGGTTAAATTGTCTGGAATTCCCTGGACAGAAGCCCCCGTGCCTGGTCAGCTGCTCTGATGTCCACCACAGCTGTCTTTGCATGAGGAATTCTTCACATTTTGGGGTTTCATCACTTTTCTGTCTCTCAGGAGCCTGGATCACCTTTTTTCATCCTTAAACCAGGCAATTTAACTCCTGGCAAGTTCAGGCCTGGAATATTTCAGCCTTGTAGGGGAAACCAAGGAACTCCAGGAGGGTGGAGGAGCCCAGACTGGGAGCACTGGGACCACTCTTGGTGTCCATCTCCCTTCCAGGCTGGTCAAGTCCAACTTCTGCCAGGTGCATGCACAAGATCTGGGAATATTTCCATTGCTTTTCCAAAGGAGGGAGATTTCCATGCAGTTTCTCTCTCTTGGAGGGTTTGGGAATTATTTTTTTTTTTAAAAAAAAGTGTATTCCAGGAAGGCAGCAGGGCACAGTGAACTCTGCTGTGCTCTTGAATCCCTTTTACCAGGAAAATTTAATTCAGACTTTTCTACATAAGAACATTTTGTGCTGTCAGGAGGAGCGGTGGGGTTGTGTTGATGATTTTCGGTGCAGGGAGTTCTGTGAAATTCAGCCTTGGACTTTATCTTCCTCAGGCCGCTTCTGGAGTTGATCTGTGGGAAAAAAAAACCTACCACACTTCAGATATTTTGTGTTACCCAGTGCCCAAGATACTTAAAATAATTTTAAACCCTTTTTTGGGGGGTTTTAAAATAACTTCTGCTGCACAGTGGGGATTTTAGTTGTACTGTTGAGTGCCCCATTACCCTCTGGGGGAAGAATCTTTTCCCAAAATCCATCCTAAACCCCCTGATACAGCTCCAGCCATTCCCTTGGGTGAAGTGGCCCTGTGTGTGTTTAAAAGGGAATCCATCCTCTTAGGGTTTGGAATTCAGCTTTTTAATTTTCATTTTAATGCTTTCCCACATTCCCACTGCTGGGTGCAGATCCACATCCCTGCCCCGATCCGTTTATCGCTTATTTTAGTGATTAAATTTGAGTGTCTGCTCTCGTGAATCTCTTCATCAGCTCGTTTTGCCCGTGAATCCAAAACCAGGTAATTAAATCCTGGCAAAATTATTTTTTTATAATTTTCCAAATATTGCAATCCGTAAAACTCGGAGCATCGTCGGCGTATTTTATCTCTTGAAATTAAAACTTCCACCAGAAGCCCTTCACCGCTTCCCAGCCTAAGGGCTGCAGTGTGAGAAAAGTTTTAAAGTCCACACTTGTGCAAGGCTTTGTGCCAGGGGTGGAGGAACCTCTCACCTTTCCCAGCTAAACCGGGACCATCCAGAACCTTCCAGCTCTGGGGAAATTCCGGATTGTTCTGTGCCCACTGCAGCAATTGCAGTGGGGTTCAATATTTGTATCTGGTCCTTCTGGTTTTGGTGGGGTTTTTTTTTGTTTGTTTTGGATTTTATTTTTGGTTTGTTTGTTTGGTGTTTTTTGGGTTTATTTTGGGATTTTTTTGTTGTTTGGTTTGGGTGGGTTTTTTGTTGTTGTTGTTTGTTTGTTTTTTGGGGTGTTTTTGTTTGTTTTTGGGGGTTTTTTTGGTGTTTTTTTTTTGTTTGGTTTGGTCTTTTGTCCCAATAACTGGTGGGGCTGATCTAGTTGACAGGTGGACAGTCCCACTTTGTTGTGGGAAACCTCAGAGCTCGTAATCCTATGGGAATCCCACGGCTACAACCAGGAGCCGTCCCTGGGTTTCCCCAGGAGTGCGAGAGCATTCCCAGCCAACCAAAGCTGCGCTCCCTTTTTTTGGGAAGGACTCTGAGGTTGCTCTGGCTTTGTTGTGGATGAATCACTTGCCAAACTCCGAGGAGGAATCCAAGAAGAAGTCCAAGAGGGAATCCCTTCCGCTGCCAGATGGAACCCAGGGAGCTGCAGGCTGTGTCGTGGTGGAGCTCACAGCTCATCCTGATCCGCGCTGACATTTTGATGTCAATGAAATTCCATCTTTCCCTCCTGGAAAAAAAAAAAAGGAAAAAAAAGAGATAGCTGTACAAAAACCCCTTAGGATGGCAGGTGAATTCCATCTCAGTAGGACTGGGAATTCCAGCATCTCCTTTCCTTCCCGTTACCCTTTCTCGGGGACCGTGCTGCTTTTGCCTGGTTTTGTGCCAGAGGATGGAAGCAGGAGTCTTCTTGCCTTAGAGCATCGCTTTTGTTGTTATTTTTGTTTGGCAGTTGTATGAATTATTTTACCTGTTTGTGTGCTGCCTATAAATAATAAATGGGTTGCTCGGATCCTGCAGAGCGGCAGCGACTCGGAGGGAAACTCAACTTTTTCGGTCCTACAAAATTCACCTGACCTCTAATACAGAAGGGAGAAGTGGTGAAAATCTATTTTTTTATATTTATATTTATATTAGTTTTCTTCTAACCAGTGTGACCAGGGAAGCCAATCCAGAAGTAACCGAGTCCCTCCCACTGTTGATTACATAACCATCTAATTAAAGGAATCAAACA